ACGTGTACTGTACAGCAAAACATGAATGGACAGAAGCCGCGAGATGAAATTTTCAACAAAGGTGCCTTATAGTTCACAAGATTATTGACATGATATGAAACACCCCATTTAACACTGTCGTACAAACCTTGGGAAGATTTTAACCGCTCTTTTGCTTTTTCCGCGCAACTTGGCTTGCCATTGTTTGAAGGTGGAGTGGTGTTCATAACATCGCATTGATGTATCGGACCATTGCCAAAATTGACATGAAAAACCTGCGCTCCGGAAGAGCAAATATGGTTTGCTCCGCGTACGTTGACTTTAATTGCTAAAACCTCATAAACAAGCAAAAAGAAGAAGGTTAAACGGAGCGGCGACACGACGCACCACGCAGCCATGTAAGCCGCCATGTTTTTGTTTTCCATGACACCAGGTCCTCTCGGTTTCGTTGGACGATGAACGCTACGTTTCATGATGTGTTACACAGAGTCAGTAGCGAGGCGTTAGACGAATGTTTTTTATTTGGTTGACCTTCTCCAACAAAAATCGGATTTCTGATAACACTAAGGCTATTTTGGGCTTTTTGGACGCATTAACATTCATGGATGACTTTCTTCCTAAGAGAGTAAGTACCCTTCGTTGAAACATGGCTTAGTTATAAACTTCTGAATCGGCATATTTCTTCACGTCCTTTCGCTTGGCAACGTACTGAACACCTGCTTGTTTAATAAGTTTGTTCTCAATTTTTTTGTTCATCGGTAAAACAAAACTGGGAAAGAAATTCAAGAGGGGAGGGGGGTTAGAATTACTGGCCACTATCAAAAGAAGTGAATTAACCCAACAAAATCACCAAATTCACAAACCTTCAGCAAAACGAGCTTAAGGGGTATGTAAAATAGACACCTAATGGCGATATTGAGGAACATTTAATTATGTGGGTGGCTCTGCTAGTGGGTAAGATGCTGTAAAGCGAATCCTGTATTATGATTAGCTCTACCCGTATCTCATCTGCTGAGAATTTCCCATCATTCATGAAAGAATGGTTGATGTTACTTAAGAGGATAATGGGCAGTAGGGAATGAGCACAAAATGGGAAAATGAAAAATGGGAACAAAACAGAGAATTGGGATAGGGCTAGGGTTCAAGTTAGGTTTTGTTCCCATTTTATATTTTCCCATTCCCTGCACTTGTTCCCCATTTCCCATTTTAGTAACATCCTAAACCATATTTCATAGTAATGGATAGTAATGTCTGCAAAGCAGTACCGATATCCATGTTCTTGTGCCCCAGTTGGTTCAACAAATTACCAGAAACGCATTTTGGACATCCGTTCACCCTGATTAGCAAATTGACAATTACCGTTTTATTAGGCCAATCATGGCACGTAGTCAAATGGTACACAGATAGGGGATAGATAACTGTTTCACAGACGGACTTAAACAGAAGTTTATATATGGCTACAAACAGTACTTTTACACTCATGCTGTATGTATATAGTTATTTACTAGTCTTGAGTAATTTTACTCAAAATTTGTAAAAACTTATCACTACATGGCGCTTGATGTAATGATAGTGTGAAATTTAACTCCAGTTCTAAAAATATAAACTGTGCAAGGATGCCCGAGCCACTAATCCTGGTTCATGTTTTCGGTAACTTAAAAAATGTCCTACCATTTCCAGTCCAGATTCAGGCTTGATTTTTGAAGGATAGGTTAAACAATACATTTATATTCTAGTAATGATGAGATAAAATGTGATCAAACAATTTCTGAAGCTGCACAAGTGTGACACCTGCTTATAACATTGAATTGTTCTGAAAAAAAGATGAAATTATTTTTTGCTGCTCTAAAACCTATCAGTTAATTTTTATTTAGGATTCAACCAATGGTGGTCATTTCTTTGAATTCATAGAAAACTTCAAATAATTATTGACAAATTACTTACGTACATCTTTTTGAATCATCCTCAATCACCTGTCCTTTTAAGGCTTGCTGTACAATTGCTCACAAGGATTCAATTTTTTTGCTTATTCACAAAAAAGGAATAAAAAGCTTGTCTTGTGAAGTCTGTGGGAATCACCAGATGGGTTCCAGTATTTGTTCCTTTTGTGATGTGTAGTTCTTAAGCAGATATCTTCTGCAGTGTGTTTCCTTAGTAACTTCATTATCTGGGCTAAATGATAAAGAACTTAAGTATGACTTAAAGTGAATAACTCAATTGTACTTACTCTAATTATTTAGTTCTTTAGATAGACCTCTTACATTTGCTTCACTAGTCCAAGTGCATTATCCATGTATAAGCTTAATGTGACCACAGTCATTGAACAACTCACTTTTCACTTTTAGTTTCCCCACTTTAACCATTGATGGCCAACAAAGTTTTCCCTTTAGCAGTTTCCCAACACGAGAGGTTAAGTTTTTTAATTTTTCAAAATATTTTTAAGTTGATTTAATGTTGTAAGTTTATATTATGACCATGGACTGGAAGAGACTAAACATACAGTCTTGACATACCGTACATCTTACCCCATACAGAATGTACTATTTCAATGCATAAATTTCTTACCATGTCTAATGCATAAAACAGTAATGATTCTTTTCCCCATCAGGTTTGTAATGAAGTGAACTGTCCTTCAAAGATCTTAGCAAAGAACATGCAAAAGTCTGTCCCCCTAATCCTTGATGATCAGGGAGATTATAAATATTATTATATTTTGGATCACTGTAGACAATTAGATTGGTCTGTGACTCAGCCACCAGTTGGTGATCTGGAATCTCCTCCAGTGCCTGTGACGCCATTTATTTTTTTCCTTTTTCATCACTATTATATTTTACATACAGGAGAGTAAGTGGAGTCCAACAGCTGAATGAGTGGACAGATATCTTAGCACATCTTGAATTGCATGCTCCTTCATCATCTGTTAACAATTCTCTTGAAACTAAACAAACAAAAACTGATGACTTAAAGCCAGATATGGCCAAGGTACATGTTAATATCTTAAATATATTAATTAAATCTTAAATTACTTAAATCAGGTAGCCTGTGAAAACATCCGTTTCTCCTCGCTCTTCGCCGCTGGGGAGGTTTCGCGCGGAGGAACGTCTGCGACTCAGCGACAGAAATTCCATACTGATGACGCAAATCAATGTTTACATAATAAATCCGGTAGTCATGGGGTTCCAAATACAAATTTGTCCAATTCTAAGTGTCTTCTGGTCGATTTTGGTAAAGTGTTGTGTTCATCTGCCAACGAGCTCCAGCAAAACTCAAACGCTTCTTCTCGAGAACAGTATATTCTACAAATATTGACTGTTTTGCTTGAGATTCTTCGCGTTTACATTTGACCTTTGTGGCCTTTTGTCTTTTGTCTGTCATTCGTAAACAATAGCTAAAACAATGTAGCTACTCCGTCGACCAATCAGCGCTTCTGACCGGATTCTGGACAGATTTTACGTCATCAGTATGGAATTTCTGTCGCTGAGTCGCAGACGTTCCTCCGCGCGAAACGTCCCCAGCGGCGAAGAGCGAGGAGAAACGGATGTTTTCGCAGGCTAAAATCAGGAATCTCAAATATAAATGTACATACAGGGTTAAAATATGAATTAATATAAATATAGACCTGATTTTTCCTGTGTCCTCGTAGTGAGCAGGCAGCAGAGAAAATAATGCAATTTAACTGTTACAAACTTCTTTCTTTAAATAATAAAAATGTAAATTTAACTTTAAATATTTTAACCATAACCACAAAAGGCTAATGGAACTGCCGTGAAGAATATTTAAGCAATAGACCACACTTTCTATGGGTTTAGCGGTGTGATAACCCACGTGGGATGTTGGGAGAACACAAAAAAAGCTTGTTTATCTCGAACCGGAGGCGGGTGATGCAGAAGCTTTTTGAGTGTTCTCCCAGCTACCAAGTGGGTTATCATGCGGGTAAATCCATAGAAAGTGTGGTCTATTGCTTTTATAAAATAACTTTAAGTTTTCTGTTAGTTTACCGGCACAATAAACCATAGGTTTTTAACCAATCGGAACGCGCATACTATCTTAGTTATTTTATAAAAATAGATATGATTGAACCAATGGTGTGGTAACATAATTTGCATTATTGAAGGTTTAAAAAAACCTTCGCTCAACGTTATCTTTTGTTACAGAAAAACTGATGGGTTGTACTCTTTAGAAGACATACAACAAAGTTATTGTAGTGATTGGTTTCTGATTGTCATAAAAATTTATAGACTTGCTTTAGCCCCTTGAGACTGTTTTTAGGACTTTTTCTATACATATAAAACATGCATGGTAATAGCTCATGCTAGAACTGATTAACTCTTAATTCTATATTTCTGTCCATGACTTTTACTTTTACTTTGATGTTTGTAAGATTGAATTAAGTTTATGTCTTATAGTATCTTTTTTTTTTCTAATGCTTTAATTTTATTCCTATGTCTCTTCTTTTGTTGTCTGCTTACCTACTGGGTAGCCTGCAGAGGAGATGACCAGTTCCTACTCTGATGAACAGTTCTTACTCATTTCTCTTCCTACTGATGCCGATGTGGTAACTTTGGCATGTTAATGGCTATTTACTTCTCCTTTCAGTTTCTTTCAATGATCTTCAATTCTTTCATGATTCTAAAAAGATTCTATTTTGTGTGTGATGTCTTTATCTCTTATCAACAATATTACACAATGTATTAAGAACTGCACAAAATATGATGATGTTCCAGTAAAACTGACCCTTAAATTCATGAGTGGATTTAAGTAAAAAAGTGGCTTACTTAGCAGTATTGCTAGCAAGCTAGAAAGATCATCTGGGAAGCTAGAAGAGCTTAACTGATGCTCCATTGCTTAAAAGCGTGTATTGTTATTATTATTATAATATTATTATTATTATTATTAGGAAGTCCGACAAGGCAGAAGAGCAGCTCAGAATATTCACTCCAATCAAGAGGCAGATGAGGATGTATTGGATGCGTCTCTGGGAGACATGACACTTCAAGCTAATAACACAGCAGCTACAGCTGAACACCATCAAGTAAAATTCCAACTGCTTTTACATAATCTATATTTTTCGACACTCTCATGAAAGCAAACTCTGATGTTTCTTTCTCCTTTTAATGCTGTAGTGAGATACTGTAATTTCTGATGCCTAATCCCACACCAACCCACCACTGAGCCAGGATTTATAATCCTACTCCTTCTGAAAGAAGGTAATTTTCAATAGGTTGCATTAATTTTGTTTTGTAGCCTCCACCAAAACCCTCTAGAAGACAAGGAGGCTGGGCAGATGACATACCCAAAGAGAAAAAGAAAGGGTATGGATTAGACTAGCATGAATTATTATGTGGAATTTTGAACTCTGCAATTAATAGCTTCATCATTAAAGATTTGTCTCGCACTGACACTATCTTGATTATTTTATAATTATATTTAAATTTTCTTTCTTTGACAGGAGGAGGGATGTTGAAACCTTTCAAGAAGAAGAGTAAGAATTCCTTTTATTAAAGGCTCATTTTTACTGGGAAATGTTTCTTGAATAAAGCTAGTACGTATAAACAAAATTGTGTTTACCATTATCCTATAAATCACATCATTGATACTAAGTCTTACAAATGCATTTTTTTCCATTTTTGTTCAGTGAGAGACTCAAAATGGACAATACCGTAACACAGGATGATGATGATGGTGGTAAGATTACCCTTCAATGTCAACTATTGTAATGTGTAGTTATGTCGTAATAGTAAGAGTGTCATTAGTTTGAATTCTCATGACAGATGTACTCAGTACAGTCTTATTGTCAGATTTTATATTTCTTTCAGTTGATAACATTCTTGTCTGTGTTTGTGAATTTTTAGACATTCCTGTGATACCTGATTTGGAAGATGTACAAGAGGAAGACATGATGACACAGATTGCTGCTCCACCCAGGTTATTATATTTTTTGTATTACTCTCCCTTAGTTGTTTTAATACTCTCCCAGGGCTCCTTACTAGCTTCACCTCAAACAATAAATACACATGATTGTAATATAAACAGTAAAAACCTATTATTATGAGAGAGGGTGATACTAATAAACTTGTGGCCTCCTAAGTGTTTCCAACTAACTGGAGACGCTTTCCAGATCAAACATGTTGGTTTTTGAGATTAAGGGAAAGCCAGAGTACTTGAAGAAAAACCTTTCTTTTTTACTTTTATTTTAGTTTCATCTTCGTTTTGAGGTCGGCATGTGCAGTCATTCCAAATGCTTTTTCCCGATTTAATTTATGCATGTGATTTCCATGAGTTATCAATGGCGTGCAACTACTTTTTCATTTTGTTAATTTTTTATTTTTTTTTGCTCTCAGTGTTCAGGTAAACAGGGTAGCGACTTACAAAGAACTGGACAGCTACTTCCAGAAACAATCTGCACTCTTTAACGTGAACTTACTGGTAAGAGTAACGAAATAGTGAACATCCCAACCTGAAATAAATAAACAAATTATTAATATCTAAATGATGTAAATAAATTTGATGTAAAACCAAAAAATGAATCACAAAGGACACAGACAATACAGTGAACCAATTAAAACTCATTCTTTCAAATATTTTTTTCAGGATGGATAAAAAGTGACCTTTTAAGCAAACTTCGTAGTAAACGCTAATGTTCTGTTCTTTCAAATATTTTCAGGATGGAGAAATTGACCTCAAACTTCTGACTAATGTTCTGTCTCCAGAAACGGAAGTTTTCGAGGTAACGATTATGTACTTTGCTTATCTAATGTGTGTTTAATTAAAGTTAGCCATATCAAGTCTGGTAACACTCAAACTGACGTTTATATAGCTCAAAGTGATTATCATCCAGGTACTTGCCAGCTCTCTGCAAGACTGCATCGTCAATGACCACACAAATTTGTGAAATTTAAAATATTTGTATGCTGCTATATAGATAACACAAAAAATATAGTAGTGTCAGATAGTAATGTACCATAGAGGTCATTTGAATAGGAATCAAACAAGTAAACTATCAACAGTTCTGAGCAGGGGGTGGAGGTTGTTTCAACTTGAGGTTTTTCCTTTGGTTTTGTAGCGTTAGCTTTGCTCTGTGTTCATTTTAAATGGAAACTTATATCATGTGCTGTCCAACATTCTGCCTATCAGAATGAAACCATACCAACCGTATTTTTCTGCCCTAGTAATAAAATTTTCTCCCACTATTTCAAGTGACTACCCCGTGGGGCTTATTTATTTCAAGCCCACTGGAAGCGGGGATTAATAGAGACGGTGGGCTTATTTAATTTAGAAACGACGATGGTATCAGTTCTCCATAAAGAACTAGAACACAAAGTGGAAAAGCTCAAGCACAAGACGTTTTAGGTCTTGGCAGCCGAGGATCAGAATCAAATCCGAACTTCCAGTTGGTAAATAAACCATCCCGGATCAGTCCACCCCGGTCTATCATTTATTAGTGAAGAATATTTAGGGGAGGGGAGGGGAGGGGGGCTTATTAACTTTCTTTCCATGAAAAGTGGGGGGGGGGGGGCTTACCAGAGGAAGGGGGCTTATTCGAGGTGGGGGGCTTAATAGAGGATTTACGGTAATGCTGAAACTTTCTAATTACTTTCCTTTCTCTTTTTTTAGGAGGACAAGCGGTGGGACTGGAACCGACTTTTCACTGAAGTTGCGTCTGAACTCCAGACGGAGTGGGACGAGGGAGGAGAGACAGGTGACTTGGATGATACCAAGTCATAAACAAAGCCTAATGCTTTTTTAGAACTCGATATATTTAAGAGGTCTGCAGGGGCCAAGAGATAAGAAAGAAAGTCTGCTATTTATTAATGTGGAGCCAGGAGTCCAGAAAAATGTATATACATTCTGATCACACTGCATGTTAACTGAAGAAGAAGGCTTCGTGCTTAACAGGCTTGTATAAAACGCGGATGATTCAATTCATTCGAAGTAAAGTTATCCAAATACGTTTTACAACTGCGTGCCCAGAAGCCTGAAATTTCTCAGTGAAAAGTGAAATTTTCCAGTAAAGCTGGGAAAAAGCAGAGGACAGTGTAAAGAAACATTATATAAGAATAAACATTCTACCTAGCGTCACTCCGCCTTGCAAGCTGCCTTCCACGCAGGATTCCTTCAGGGACACCCAACGAGAATATAGTTCAAAACCACATAAACATAGCATTGTTGAACATACTTTAGTATTTAAACGGCAGATAAAGGCTTATTTTCATCCCCTAAAAATTTTTCATCTGTTCGGATTTCCTAGCTGAAAGTATAGTGATCCGAAAATTATAGGGATCAAAATTTACCTTTTCGAAAATTTCAGCCAGAAAAAAGGCTCCCGAAAATTCTAGGTGACCTTTATAGGGTAAAAATCCGTTAAAAATGGGCAATTACATCAATTTTTTTGAAGTTCGAAAATCCTAGGAGAGGCAGGCAAGCAAGATATTTTTCAGAAAATGATCCGAAAATTCTAGACCTCAAATCGTCTTCCGAACAGATAATTTTCCGAAAATTGTCGTTGGGTGCCCCTGTTCCTTGATACACGAGTTCAGATTATATATAACGTAACCTGTTATAGAAGACGTCAGGCTTCCTGACTATTATGACTGTTATATAACCTCCTTGCTCTGACCTGCTTGGAAAGGCATCTGCACTCACAGGCTGGTATACTTTTTGGAGTTTAATAAAGTAAAATCACACACGCAACATTTCTCATAATTAATCTCGCTATATTTCCTATTTTGCATTCATGTAAAATCAAAATCAAACTTGTTCGTGGCTAATGTCGGCCTAGTTATTGCGCTGGAATCATGAGCTTGGTTACGTCACTGACCAGCTGAAAATACCGCTTGGACAAACACAGCGAGGGAAAGTCATAGATCAGGATCATCAGTATAAAATAACACTTAAAATTGAAGGCAAGGCTGATCGGACAGCTGAGGGTTACAAATTTATTTGCCCAATATTTCGACTAGACAAAACTAGTCTTCATCATGGGCTACGAAAGCTAAGTGAACAGCACTGTTTGGTCGGTGGGCTCTGGTGGGTTATGCTTGTCATTAAGGCGTTGACAAAGAAAACTCCCTTTTCCCACCCACATCCTTATGCCTCCCTGCTTTTTATTGGATTTTGATGGCTTGACTATCAACAGTTGACTTCACGTAAACAAACTTATGTTGACTTTTTACCCTTAAGCGATTTAGACTGTTTTTTTTATAAATTATCATTTCAAAAGATGATTTACATCTCGAGGAATCGTTTATTTTCATCCAAGACTGTCAATTATCATATAGATCAATTATCTCGCTAACTGTCTGTATGTCAAATGGTTTATTTTAAATAGACTGGTTACTGTAAACATCACATGGTCGGCGCTCAAGCGCTAAAGTGATCTGCAAATACTAGAGGACTTTCAAGATAAAAACGTTGAACTGGACAGTTAGCCTGAAGGTACTTCATGGCAAACGCAACGGCAGTAACTGAAGCTAACACCACTCTACTGCCTCCATGGCCAGACGAACTGCAGTCTCAAGTCTATATACTTCTCACAACAATTTTCTTCTCTTTAATTATCTTAGTTGGTTTGTTTACCAACAGCTTGGTCTTAGTTACTCTGGCTCGCTGGCCGATGGAAATGCGAATTCCCTGTAATATTCTGATTGGTAATATCTGCGCAGCGGACTTAGGAGTGTGTGTATTTGCAGCACCTCTAAGGATCATTGAAATTTACTTGGGCTGGATCTTCGGTCAAGCAATGTGCTTCATTTTCACTCCACTTCAAGATGTCTTCGTGGTTGTCTCTGTCGCTGCACAGACCATAATAGCCTTGGAGAGGCATCGTGCCATTGTCACACCGTTTAAACCCAAGATGACACTGAAGAGAGTTAAGAAGTTTGTACTTGTCATATGGATTGCTAGTTATCTCACAGCTGGGCTACCGATGATGATATTTCTTAAGAATGAATTGTACGAGGACCGTTACTACTGTTTTCCAGTTTTCACCAAGGATCAATATCGAATTGCATACCAGATTTACATCGTGGTGTTGTTTATAGTACTACCTCTTGCTATTCAATGCATAGCGTACTTCAATATCATCCGTGTACTCAGAGCCAAAGAAGTGTTTCATCGAAGGGGTTCTTCAGTAGAATTCTTCAAAAAACGCATACACCAAAAGCGCCGACTTGTCAGAATGTCATTAGCTCTTATGCTGGCTTTTCAAGTGTGTTACCTGCCCAGGGGAGTGGTAATGTTGATTCAAGAATTCAAACCTGAAACAACTTTCAAGCTAGAGTTCCTCTACATAGAGATGATCACACTGGCGATGTATTATCTCAAACATGTCATTAACCCGTTTATACTGTGGGCTACGAGCAATGATTTTCGCGCTGGTTGTTTGAAACTGTGCCAAAGCTAAGAGCCTATCGTACAAGAACAATGGTCTTCTCCTTTATCTTTTTTTTCAAACTTCCATGTCAAGCCTTCATGGATGATGTAATGAATCTGAACGAGTCGCGCTTTTCTGACTCCTTGGTGAGCTCATAAGCTGTGTAGAAGACAAAGCGCTTCGAAGCTCTGGTTCATAACGGTTACGTAACCATGTAGTAATTATTAAAAAAAATCTTGTTACACGTATATTCGTTTCCCCTTTTGTCTTAAAAAAAAATGCTCTATTCCTCCAGGCAGACAAGGAGTCCCAAAGTATGCTATTGGAGTCTCCCAGAACTTCTTTGCTCTGTGCGCAACAAAGGAAATAGGACACACTTACATGCGGGCTAGCTCCGTTTTCCTTCAGTTTCCATTTACAATTTCTTTAGTGTGAAAAAGAATCAATTCCTCTAAACAGAAATTACAAACAGGAAAAAAGAACTTTCTAATTGGTTGCAGAGCAAGGACAAAATCCCAAAAGCATTTGCGTCCATCAGAAAGCCTATATACGAGGTGTTAAGAGCTTGCCCCATAATAGGTCCACTACATGTATACCCAAAAACAATAGAAAAAGAAAAATTACCTGAGCCAAAAAATTTGCTACAACATATATAAAACTCTTAGAAGTTTTAAACGATCTCTATGAAGACACGACCTTATTGACATGTGTGTAGGTTAAACAGAAGCATAATGATGAAATGTTCCACAGAACAATAAGATGCGTCGCAAAACGCATGTTAGTACTTAAGAACTGTGATCAAAATCAGAATTGGCGTTCAAAATCGCAATGCGCGGGTGCAATAGACCCAACAATCAGGTCAATGTCTCTCTAAGTTCTTTGGCTTAGATTTCCTAAAAGTCCCATTTTTAATCCGATTTAATAGTAAGAGTACCTCACACATTATTTTTTTGTGGGAGTAAAATAATACACACGGTAACTACCTCATAAAACGGACTTAGAGTCCAGAAATGTCCTTTTCTAAACTTCAGCTTCTACAGCATGCATAATACATTATCCCGTTCGACTTAAATAGTGGACTGAATATTCTTTTAACGAATCAAAACAAACTCAAGTTCATTTCTTGAGCATTAAGAGCTCCCGAAGAGAACTAAAACTAGTGCAGAGTAAAACCATCAAGAAATTTGCTTGTTGTACTAATTTCAAGGAGTCTTTAAAAACTAACCATGTTAAAGAATAAAATTTATTCCCCTGCTTGCAAGGTTGTCAGCCCTCTTCGGGATCGGTTTCAGACTCCACTATGACATCATCGGAGTTGTCTTCGGTTGCCTTCGTAGATTTATCGTTCCCATTCGGCAAGGCACTCGCCTCTTCTTCAGACTCTACAATAACGTCATCAGAACTATGCGACTCTATTTCCGCTGCTTCACGATGACAGATCTCACTCCCTTGTTCGGAAGTACGTGGTCCTTCCGGTTCTTGTTCCGACTCGAAAAGTTTCTTTCGGATATCATCGGCAGCACGAATGTTAGCTGAGATGGGACCGTGAACCGTTTTGGAGCTGCATACAGCATTTTTCTTCCCGTCAGTTTTGTGATCTGCTGAAGTCGAGGGGATGTAGTATTCATCTCCGCAGGCCAATTTTGGAACGAGTTTTCCCATGACCTTGAAGGGGTTTGCCCTTTTGTTTTCTGTCTGGCTTTCAGTTGTCAAAATCAACCGGACTTGGTGAAATATCTTCAGGATTTGTTCCTCTTCGTACGGTTCATCACCCGATTTGAGCTTCACGCTCCAACGCAAGCGTATCTCGGCTGGCTTCCCTTTCTCGCCTTTGGTGAATTCAAAGCTTTTAACTCCAGGGCAGAACTTTAAGTAAACGCGCTTGACCACGCCCAATTGGGGCACCAAAATGTCCAAAGACTGGTCCATAACATTCAAAACCATTCCGTCTTCTTCAAGAGGGCCACTTTCACGCACAAAGATACCAAAGAACAACTCGTTGCTCAGTTCACTGGCTCGTTTTGCAGCAAGTTTCCGGTCATTGCAGTGTCCCGCTATCATGTCAATACCGTCAGGGTCTTGATTCAGCGGTTCGTCGATGCCAAGACTCGCGGCCAGAAGCCTGTGTACTACTACATCTGCGTATCTTCTTATTGGGGACGTAAAGTGGGTGTAGAGAGGTACACGTAAAGCGTAGTGTCCATACTGGTCTTCTTCTACTGACCCAGTGCAAAAATATTCCGCGTTCTTCATCGGTCGCATAGTCAAATTGACCAGAACCTCTCTCTCGGGGGATGACAGCGGAAATTGTGACAGTGAGTCTTGGATAGTTTTGGAAGAGGTGCCATTAAAATTGATTCCAAAAGATCTGCAGATTTCGATTACATCCTCCAGTTGTTTTTCGTGAGGTTTGGGATGACGCCGTAATAAGGCTGTCTCAGGATAAGCCACATAAATGTGGTGAGCTATCGCCATGTTTGCAAGCAACATGAATTCCTCAATGAGCTTATTTGCATCACGCTGCTTGTGCACGTGATATCCATTTGGCAAACCGGTTTCTTTATCCAGATCAAACTGGAGTTTAACTTGATCAAGGCGCAAGGCGCCGTTTTCAAAGCGATTACGACGGAGACGCAGGGCAAACTTATGAAGCTGATTAACTTGAGCAGAAATTTGCTCAACCGTCGCGCCGTCTGAAATAGGGGGTAGCTCACTTGGATTCCACTGCCTGTTTGGTTTCTCAATCATGTCTTGAGCGTGTTCATACGCCATCTTGACGCGAGAACGAATAATTCCTCTTCCTTTCCACTCATCTAAGATTTCTCCTTTTTCAGACATACGCCAGACAATGGAGAAAGTCAAACGATCTTCCCCTGGGTTTAAACTGCACAACTCTTCACACAAACGCCGTGGGAGCATGGGAATTACTTTTTGTACCATGTATGTAGATGTTGCTCTCTCTATGGCAATTTCATCCAATGCTGTTCCCCTTCGAACGAAAAAACTTACGTCAGCAATGTGTACTCCAACTTCGAAACAGCCATCTTGAATTTTCTTGCAGTGAACTGCATCGTCAAGATCCCTAGCGGTAAGGGGATCAATTGTGAAAACACAGTCATCTCGGAAGTCTCTTCTGTACTCTAACTCTTTTTCAGGTATTTTCCAAGGCGTTTCCAGAGGTAAACATGCCAGGGCCTCGTCTGAAAAGGTCCTGAATCGATTCCGTACTCTAAGAGGATCCCCTCCGTCTCAGGCTCAATCTCCCCCGCCTCTCCCAGACTTCGCGCAATAGAGCCGATCGCGAGAAACGAATCCCTTGAAGAGGTCTCGGGCCAACTGACAATTCGCGCAACAAGCAGAGTCTTTTCAAAGTCTCGTGGTCTGTCAAAGAATCCTGGCGGGCATTGGTCACGTGGGATGCGTATTCTGGGTAGTCGACTGTCAGCTGGGGAGAAGCAACCATCGGGGCATTCCTTAAGGTGGGGGAAGGGCTTTAAATTACCACTAGCCACACGAGAGTGTTTCTTTTCAATAATGTAAACTACTTTGCCAGTTCTTTGCAGAAACTCTTCTGGGACTTGATCGACATTGATAGGTTTATCAATGTGGCCTGAAGCTGACGTGGAAGGAGACTGGGATTCATTCCCAGGGCTCAGGGACAAGGAATCTAAGCCTCCAGTTGTCTCTTCTACGTATTTCATATCCAGAGTAATCCCATTGTAATCCAATTCATCTTTCATAATTCTCCATTTCTGTTTGGGTAAGATCTCCAGCGCAACAATATCACCATTGAGAGCTCGGTTTCGCATCAGCATTCCCTCTAACACGACATCACGTTTCAGTCCAGGTACTGTCACCCAGGCCAGCTCATAGTTCCTAGGGCTTATTCGTAAAACTCCTTTCATAAGTTCTTGCCTCTTCAACGCAGCAGACACTTTCTCCAGTGGCCAATACGCTTCATAAAGTGGTCTCCGTTGATTCCCACGATTCCTCGGGGTTCTGCGTGGTGTGTTTCTTCTTGCAGATATTTCATGAGAGCTTGGAGTTGTTTGTTTTGCATTTCGTGTCCCTGAATCTCTCACGCTACCGGCTGATTGAAGCTCTTTTCTTGTAGAGCCGCTTTGACAACTCAATTCAACGACTTCTTCATTACCCGCACGAACTCTATTTTGTTTCTTCCTTCGTCTGTTCCTTTTCTTTTTCCCGCTGCCTACACTGTTAGCAACCACCAAATCTTGCTGTTCATTGCTATGAGCAACTTCCGCAAAGCTGTTACTTAGATTATCTCCTTGAGCCATAGTTTTTTCGTGTCCTGGCGGAATTTCTTCTGGTTTACCGTCTCCTAGCTGTGAGCTTTCCATTTGCTTTCTTCTACCTTTCTCGCTGTCAGCTTGATCCAGGCTTGTTTTTGTCTCTAAATCTGCGCAATCGTTGTTTTCCTTGTCAGCACATTGGTTGGGTTGACCAGCTTTAACATCACATTCTTCATTTATTGCATCACAACAAACAACAGCTGACGCAGCAGAAGTGGGATCACGATCTTGTTTTTTCTTTTTCCGTCTTTTCCGTTTCTTCTTCTTCTTGTTTTCAGCTGGTAAATCTTTATCACCACCTCCGACAATATGACCCTGCGCTTCTTCTTCACCACTCTGTAACTCTTCCGGTTCATGTTCAAGTTCACCCGCAACGACTTTTGCACGTGCACTGTCCGTCTCTGCAGCGCGTGCACTGATTGGAACTTCTCTCAAATTATCTGAAGCTTCAAAGACTTCTTCGTTTCCTTCTCTCTTTATTTCTTTATCCATTACCTTCAAATCCATCCACTCTTAAAGCCTTATCCTGGTGTTTTGGCAGACAACCAGATAAAAACTCACCTGCAATTTGGAAAGTGAAAGCGTAACATATGACAAAAAAATTTCCCCGCACAAAATATTGAGCACAAATATTACATTTCCCTAAGGAATGATATTATCTACTCTTTTCAACTACTCAATTAAACATTATCACCTCTCTTGCTTAAATGAAAGGGGGTAAATTCAAAATATGACGAATTAGTAACTGACCTGGAATACTTAGCTTCATCCGCCATTTTTGTTTTGTTTCTCTCTTTCCCAGAAGACTTTGTAACTTCCTTGAACGGAAGTCACGTGACACTTAAAAAGACAAAAACAACATGGCGGCCTGCTTGACCAAGATGACACCTGAAACTGACACGGCATAACAAGGATTCTAATGATGTTATGTTGGCTCTGATGTCTGTAAGCTTCCTTTCAAGGAGTGAACATGAGTGCAGATTCCCAGACGCTGCAGGCAAAGTACCAGAAATTGGCTGCTGAATTTGCAAAGGTATGCATTTCAGTGACGTGTTGAAGCCTATTCATTTTATTTATTAACAGTCTCTGAATCTGACATGTATATTTTGCTCAAGGGAAATACATTTCTTTACATGATAAATGGACAGTAGCAATGTTGTTTGTTATATTCCGTGGCTCTATCAGAATCCGTTTGTACAAATTAGAGGGGGTGGGGGTGGGGCGGAGGGGTAGGTAGGCTTACTTAGGACGGGTTTTAATGACTTTTTTCATAAGCGGCTGCTGATGCCGGATTGTGTGGCTATAACCATGAAGTACTGCTGCTATGTGATGATAAGTAAAATCGTAACAGACAGCATATAGCTGCCAACTTTTTCTGAGTCAAATGCATGAGATTTTTGTCCTGTCACGATAAAAACATCCCGGGGACTTCTGAAGATTTCCAAAGATTTTCCGAAGACTTCTGAATGTTGTTGAAAAATGTCCGAAGATGTTCTGATAACCTTTGAGCACTGCCAAAGCTACCTGAAAGGCAACAATTTTAACGTGCTTGGAAACAGTTAGGATACAATGTCAACATTAAGCACCTTTTTGGAATATTTTTGTGGAAATTGAAATGAATTTAAGCTCACTGCTATCACTGTGTGACTATTCTGTGCATTTCAAAACTGGATACCCCATTCTAACTCTCAGCCTCCAAGTCATATAATTTGCCACACACGATACCAATACATGCCAATAAAGGTTGTCTGGATTTAAGTTGAATTTAAGTATTTGCCTGAATATTTTTGTAAGTTGTATGGCAAAGTCCCCAAAAAACTAAAATGTGAGGTTTTTTTTAACAGCAAAGAGCCCAGAACACTGTCTTGAAGAAAGCTGTAATTGATGAGCAAGGAAAAACCAAGTCATTTCAGGTTTGAAAACTGACTGATTTGGAGTTAAGTAATTTCACTGGTCTCTTTCCTGCAGACAACTGACTTGAATTTCTTTTTCCTGTTAACTTTTTATTATGTCCTGAAGGAAACTGTCAGGCAAAAGGATCAGTCAATCAGGAAATATGAACAGGAAATTGACAGTTTGCAGTTTAGAAATGATCAGGTGACACAGTTTGATCATTTTCTTTTACTGATTACTAATTTTTTTTTCTCCTGAGTAAAAAAGGGGGTCTTATCTAGTTCACCTGTTTTTTTGGCCAAGCAAACTAGTTAATTTTGTATGAGACTGAATTCAAAACATTGTTCTGAAGCGTTTATATGTTGTTCCTCTTTTGAAGTTGTCTAAGAGAGTAGCTGTTCTACAAGAAGAGCTTGATGAATATGATGGAAGAAACAGACGAGGAAAGGTTGATATCACTGTGTTTATTTACCTTTTTTATTACTCCCACTCTTTAAAAATCAGTGCTTCACATCACAGCATACCTATCAGATGAAGGCATTTGATGGGCTTTCATTTGCACTTATGATGTTTTTGGAGTTAGATCATACTGTAAGCAGTAAGCATTGAAAAGGAAAAATGTGGATGTTAATCATTTGGGCAATGGGCAAACTTTGCCAAGCATCATCACAGCCTGAGATGAAGATGTACTAGACTACTCAATTTTTCCATTTTGTATCATCTTAGTTGTGTTGTGTGGTTATAATTTCTCACATGCATTGACTCCAAAGCACACATCTTATTATTGTTGTTCTTTGTATTTTTCAGTCCAGAATTGATGGGGTGACAAGAACTGATGATGATGATGTTAAAGATCAGGAACTCCAAATAAAAATTCAGGAAAATGAGAGACTACAGAGAGAGGTAAATAATGACAAGAACCAACTCAAAACATCAAAACACTGCTGGTACTCCTGAAAATATGGAACTTAATACAGAATAGTATTAGATGTGTAGTATTCTTGGACCAATAAGTTCTGACGAGTAACACTCTATATTATCCAAAAGCTTTCAGCTGAAATTTTAATCATGCTCCAGTGCATGTTAAGTCTATTATATTTCAGTATGTGTGTAGATTTAGACTTCCCTTTAATTATCTATCCTTCTGTTTGTGACCTGAAACAATTTATTTTTTATTCCTAATGATAACAATGGACTGCTAGGGAGGAGCACTCAATTTCTGTCATTAGCAGATACTGATATTCATTACATGTAAGTGACTTAATTTTATTGGTCATTTTCTCCTAGTTGTATGAGGCAACTCAGGAGTACAAAGGATCAATACTTTCCCTCCAAGATAAATTAGACTCACTAGAAAGGTAAATATTTTTCTTAATTTATCTCCTTTTTATAGGCGTACACTACAGCTGTTATAATTTATTTATTGTTTCAGTCAAGTGGAAATTTATGCTAGTGAATTTTAACTAAATAATGCAGAAAGGGGCTATTTTCCACCAAACAAACATGCATCCAGGAAGATAGCTATTGATGTCTAATAGTTCCTGAAGTCAAATTTAAGAAAGTGACTTGATTTGCCTGCCTAACCTAGAAATTATCAATTATGGAAGTAAGTTATATATACACTAGGATATGAGTATATTGATTAATATTAATAATTATTCATTCAAAATATTTCCCCAATTCTGATTGGCTAAATGCACACGCATAATTCACCATAACCAGTTACTGATGACCAAATTTGGAAGAATTTCCTGTTTAACGAGGAAGTGACGTCAAAAATGCAGCGTTCTTGCGGGTTAATGCACCGTTAACCAAGAAGACCTGGGGATGAGGTTGAGTTGTTTTGGTTATGAAAACAAAAAATGGCGGACATTTCACTCGTTTCAAGAGTAAGAACTAGGTGAAATTGTAGCTTAAAACATAGCAGGAACAGCAAGAACACAACTCGAAGGGTGACATCTGCTATTTGGAGAATATTTGCTGAGCTGAACATTCCTAAACGAGCACTATCGAAGGTGAACTTAACATCGATGGCGGTAAGCATGTTTTAGCATTGTTAATAAAACAGTTATTGAATTCGGCTTTTGTATCATGAGAAGAATCATGGAGATCTCGGAGGGTGTTATCTGCCTCGGCCTACGGCCTCAACAGATAACACCCTCCTCGATCTCCATAATTCTTCATAAGATACTCAGCCTCATTCATTAATTGTTAACTAATTTTGTCCAGAAATTCTACTGATCACCAGAAGATATTAGATGAAGCTAATGAGAGGCACAGAATGGTGGTTGATAAACTTCATGAGGAAAGAGCCATGCTTGAGGTTTGTGTAAAAACGACTAGTTGTAACTTGAGTGAATAAAAATAGATAATGATGACGGGATTACTTGTAATTTTTTGCTCTTAACTATCATTTGAGCAGTTCCTGTTAAAGAGGGGTCATCTAATAATTGAGGTACTAAATTCTTTGATTTCTTTCCCTCAAACCTGAAGGCTAAACTTCATAGAACAGAAGAGGAATTAAAAGTGGCAAGCTTGAAAGCAGAGAAAAGGTATAAAAATATATCATTAACACAAGTATCCAATGTCCAATGGAATTCAGAATTTCAAAAATGTAGTATTTTCACTAAAGATGATTTATCTTGCTTTTTTAGCCATCAACAGCTCAAGTTGTTGCACAAAGAAATGACGTCCAGATATGGTAAGGATTTTGTTTACATTGTATCAGTACAGTAATATACTTTGGTACTCTCTAATGGAGTAATGTGCTTGACACAGAAAGGTAATGATAATAATATCATTATGTTCATTAACCCTGGCTAAGAGAACTACATTATAAAACCCATTATAGCTTATGCGCTAATAATCTTGCACCTGGTGTCCTTTCTGCTAACTTATTACTGACAAAAATATTTTCATGACAGGTTGACATGCAACCGTAACAGCCTCAAAATCCCACTTTTCAAAACAGCTTCTGGGCAACGATCTTTCGCCCATAGGGCAGTGAAGATTTGGAATGACTTAGATGACTCCGTTAAATTACAACCATCAATTTCTACTTTTAAGAGTGCAATGAAAGACCACCTATATTGTCTTTGACTATCGATTCAAAGAATTTCATTGATTTTATTGGATTTAGGCATAAGTTTTCCTTTTTATTAGATCTAATTATATCTTATCCATCTGTAAATAGTTACATAATAGCCTTTTCTGAGGAGCACCTATTAAAGATTATTACTATTACTATTGTTTATCAAAAAATGGAATGTTAACAAGTTGAAAAAATAACTTGTGCTCATTGTATTACATCTTTTCTATTCATTGCTTAGATGATGTTTCTAAAGTTGTAACAGAAAAGCTTCCATTTAATGATACAAGTAAGTTTGTAGCTTGTTGTAGGAAATTATGCTTTTGTGTGTTTGTTAGGTAGTACTTCTGAATATACACACATATTATTGTATAATATTATTTTATTATAATGAAAAACTGATATCCATAATGACATGTACTCTAATATCTTTTGTAGGCATTAGAGAGTTTAACAAGTTAAATGTACCTACGCATGACCGGAGACACCAGGTTAAGGCAAAGGAAGTTATATGTCAAGCAGCTGAGTTAGTTCATGAACTTGTATCTGGAATGTCAAACTTCCACACATATACAGAACAGGTAAGCAATGACATTCTTGTGTCTAATGAAGTGTTATTTTTTGTCTGTTTTATTGTGAATTTTTAATCAGTTGGAAACGTAATGATTTTCTGCAAAGCTTGTCAAACCATGGCTTGCACCACATGTCAGAAAGACATAGTTGATTGTAAAATAGCTCCTACAACATTCTCTTTGAATTTCACCAAATTTTTGCATTTTGCAGCGGCTGAAAACATTCTTTGTGGAATCAGCTCAACAGCAAATCACCCCAGTCACACAAAAGGTAAAAAAAAACTAAATATAAATGTTACATTTTGTGTTTGAGAAAGACTACTACCTAATGATTGCAGATAAAAATTCCATCATATATTGTACACCTGTATTAGGGCAAGACCCAGGCTAATATAATGAAAGGGCTTAGGGTGAATCAAAATTGATTAATACAGCTATGTGACCTTGCACTGTTCAATAATAAATATTTAACTTTAAGATTCTTATGTCTTATCCTTTTTTCCTCTTAGTTTTGTGACTACCTTCATGAAAATGCCACAGTATTACGAGCTGTTGATCAGGCATTTGTTTCCTTCTATACCAGCATAAAAACAGATGTTTTAATATCAATGGTAAGATAAACTACTTGCATTAGATACGTGTGTCTTCCTAGCTATCCATACCTTTTCTTTATGGCTGTTGACATTCTTATTGCACCATCTCTGAGTTGAACATCCATTTAATAGATGGCATTACATCAAATGGAAATGATTAGATTGCTTTCATATTTTGGTAAGTCACCTTGTCCCTATATTTTGATTACCTGATATATAAATATACAAATTTTATTCATCAGTATTTAATGCTATTTCTTCTATTTTTAGGAAACCATTCCTGGCTTGCATGATTTTTCTGAAGCTTTTCATAAATATAGCAATTACTTAAAGAAGCTTCTACCATATTATGTGTTGAGGTAAGAGACTATGTGGCTCTAATTAATTGTGCATTGAGACTTATTTCTTTAATACAGAGGTTTAGCTTGGTATGCTTCATTTACCTTCTTACATTTTAAGGGGTTTTTTGTACCTTTTTTTGGTAGCACCAGTGAAGAATGTAAAGCATCAACTTGTTCCAGCACCTTGGAAGCCTATAACAAAGCATTGTTACATTCACTCTCAAAACTGATCACAATTTTTAATAAGATTGACAGTCACATCAGAATCCTGGGCTCTGCTAGTAAGTTTAAAAAAGCAAGTAAGTTAGTTGAAAAAAGCATAGTGATAGACTGTACAAGTTCTACACGGCATCACAGCAAAGCTGCCTCCTTATACATCACCCGTTAAGGCATTATCGGATGGTGTAGATAAAAAGTTTGGCAATCAAATGAGGCAAAAATTAAATTGATATTAAGGTGAGAGATTAACGTAATGAAACTTGTAAGTTCACTTCAGAATAAAATACAATTATGGAATTTTGTGCATAAACCTTTTTGTTCAAGATGATCTACAAGGCCTTAAGAAAGAATTAATCCTAGCACACTAAAATGTATCTTTGTGCTTATGTAGGTTTTAATATTTTTCCTTCAATGTTTTGTTAGGTTCAGGGTCTTCTGGAATTGTTTTGGCTAACTACAGCACCTCCTTTTCACTTCTGACCTCTTCTCTACAGGATTTCCATGAATGTGTGAAAATAATAATTATTGTTATCTTTCAATTATATTTACAATATTAGTAATATTATTACCAATTACATGGGTATTCCAGTAAAAGTAACCCCCAACACCCAAGATGCTCTTCCTAAGTAGACAAATGGAAAACATTATTACCTTATGTTATTATTATTCTTCTCTTTCACAGTATTATCAATGCATTTCCAGTCCAAAGTATCCTTAGAGCACCAGCTGCCCACAGCCACCCAGGTAAACCAACAGCCATAAAAGTATAGTATATGTTCTGACATGAAACCAATTTAATGTCACTGTTTTTTCACTGCAGACTTTGAAAAGCACAGATGAATGTATTGTTTCCTCTTTAGTATCTCTGGTAACGGTCACTGCTAAGGTACTTTTAATGTTTTATTTCCTTATGATTAGATAGTTTCCTTTGTTTTAGCTTCTATCAGGGACAGCCACACAAAGGAAGATATCTATAGCATGCAATTTCAAGTTAGTGACCTCACTGTAACTCAAACTATTAGGTATAGCAGCACGTAAAGGAAGTTGTGTCTATTAGCCCCGAGCTAGTGGATTTTGCTATCAGGCTAGTAAATTCTGTTCTCAACTTGCCCAATGGGTGAGTGAAATTTTTTAGGAATTCAAATTACAGATTAGAACTTTGTTGGGCTAGTTGAAATGCCTTTTGGGCTAGTACATGCAAGCCACAGCTTGCCCAAATGGCAAGCTGTAAAAATGACTTTCTTTGCACCCTAGATACTGGCATATTAGACAGTCTTAAAGGAGCAAATGAAACAAATTAATTGAATATGTATAATGTACAATGCAGCAACACATGACACGTAATCAACACAGCTTTATTTAGTGACTAATTTGTAAATGGAAAAATTGAATTTAATGTATTGTCAATTCAATTGTCAGATAGGAAAATTCATGAGCAGTAACCTGGATTTCTTCTCAGCCAAGTCTGGCATCAGAACAAGAGGACTAACATCTGCTGCAAACAGTGAGGTGTGTTTTACACTGATCTACCTCCCATGTCTGCTCTTAAATTGCCTCAAACAATAGAGTATGTGTGTGGCAGCCATGTTGGAGGAGTAAAACAATAAAAAGATTTTCCTTTGGGGAAAAGTTTCATTTTCATGCAAAATTTATATATTTTTATGGTTTACTCCTCCAACATGGCAGCCACGCACAGACTATATAATCTGTGTGAAAGCCACTTGAAAAGAAAAAACATTACTCAACTACTTTCTCGAGAGCTGTACAGGGACATTTGTCTACGTTAAAATTGTATAAAAAAATATTATTTTCTTTTCCTTTAGTTAACATCTTCTCCAGCTGTGGTGGGGTTCAGACATCATGCAGCAGACTACATTCAGAAGCTTATGAGGGTAGCTAGCTAAATTAGTATTGTTTGGATTTCACCCCTTTAAGCCCCAAATATCTACATACAAAGTTGTCCAGATTTAGCTCTATACATTTCCTTGCAGAATTGGCTGGGAAAATTTGATAAAAGATCAAAGTATTTTCCCTTTGCTGATCATTTTATGAATTCCCATAGCCTTTTTTCACTGATGATGGTAGGAGAAAATTAGTGTTGGTCACTCAATCTTAAAGGGTTAAACAGCAGTCAACCTCATCCCTGGGGCTTTTCCCTTAGACAATGGGAGGAGGAAAACTCTGCTTTGACAGTACCACAGAAAAACTGTTGCTTAGGCTATGTAAGATGGTGACACTGGTGTTTTTCTCCACTTTCAAAACAGACTTGTCATACTGCTGATTCCTTTCAGTTTCTTTGATTTACCTTTGCTTAACCACTTAATCCCCAATTTCCACTTACATATTCTCCAGACTGATCTCCATACATGTCCTTGAAGAATAAGTATGAGAATGGAATGAAAGATCAAAACATTTTCCCTTCGGTGATTATTTCATCAATTCTCATAACTTTTTCTCTTGATAATATAATGATATTGTCAGGACAAAATTAAGTTTTACTCTTGGGAATTAAAGGGAGCTGTCAAATTAAATTCTAGATGCAAAAGGTTTTCTACCTGTTCTAAGAATGTAATTTTTTGCATACTTCAGCCCTGTCCAGAGTCTGTACCTTACAAAGTTGCTCTTCACAATCACAAAATCCTGGTGAGCTCAACAGAAAGTAAAGATTCCTTGGAAAAACAGGTATGAATCAGCCCGTTTACAGTTAACAAGTTATATCAAGCCTGTATTTGCACTGACAAAAAAGTAATTATTTTATTTAAATGGCTGTTAACCTGTAGTTACAATAAATTTTTCTTTTAGTTCAAAAATTAAAAAAATAATCCAGTTTGATTTCTTTCCATTTGTCTCCGGTAATGTGGGTTTATGTGAGACATAAGAAAAATATAGTAACACTAACAGCTTGTCATATCTATGCATTTGTCAAAATTCAGTTATGTTTTGCTGTGGAAATGAAAAGGTCCAAAGCTATGAGAAAGAGCCAAATTTTTGTTTTCCTGGTTTTTACAGATCGCTGCGACTCACGAGAGAGTAACTAAACTTGAACAGGACAAAGAACACTGGATGCTGGAGTCTCAATTGTTACAAGTGAAATATGAAAAAGAAGTCAAGGTTTGTGCGCTTTCAATAATTTCACAAAGGCAGATTCCGCCCCCAGTTGGCCAAGTCGCTCGGGTATTAACAGACTCTGACAGTGAACACATCACATAAGCCACTGACTCTACCTTTTGGCAGTCATGCACTGTACATGGTCACGCCTTCACCCTTTCTTAGTCAAGCAGTTTAATTTCCTGGATATAGTTCACTGTGGTAGGACTTTCAAAACAGTCTCTGCTTTTTCAGAGAAACAAGGCAGCTTGTGTTCTTAACTTTTTTGTGGTAACTTCTTTGTATTTTCCACCAGGAGTGCCTAAACTGACAATTACGAATTTTTATTATCCCTCTTAGAAAGTACAGTCCCTAGAACAGGAGCTCCACCGATTATTGGAAGCTAAAAACATGAACTTTATAACAGATGGGGTTGCGGTAAGAACTATTTCTCTAATTATAGATTTTTACAAGCGGATGATAGAGTTCCCGCAAGGCTTGACTGATGAGCCCTTACACTTTTTTAATACATATTCATCTTTCCTTCTCTTAATTTCCAGTCTCTCTCAGATGAAACAGACTCTACTTCATCTCGATCATCTTTGACGTCACACAGCTATGAAGTCCCAGCTCCACCTTCTGACGTAAGTACCTGTACCTCCATTTCGTTATTGTTGCGTTTTCAAAGAAAAGAAGCAAGAAACAAGCTTTGTGACTGAAAGGAACTTTTTTGAATAGCTAAAGGCCTCTCCATAAAATGGGGGTGATCCACAACAACAGACAGCATCGCAGTTATTGTCGTAAACGTTTCAAATGTTCGGCAGGATTTTCTTGCGACCATGAGGTGCTGCCGTGTTGGATTAGCTGCCTGTTTATTTATTCCTGTTAACCTTGAAAAGGGAATATTTTCTTAACCTTACATTTAGTTGTGCTAATTTTCTTATCGGAACCTAGACGTTACTCAAAGAAAAATATTTTGCATTTAGAATAAGACACGATTTGTTTTTCTCAGTTTGAAAGAGAAGCTGTAACATTCCTCAACAAATGCATGACAATAAGTTTAATTTGTGAGGGTGAGACATGGTCCCTTTTCGGAACTGATAATCTGTAGTCACATGAGTGTAACCTTGCACCATGTGTGTAATTACCTTGATAACCTTTATAAGGGATTCCAACATCACTGATGATGATGTTTACATTAAAACTAGTGAAGTAGTGCAATGTAGATCGCAGGTAAACTACATTGTCGTTTTGATGGTTTATTTGTTTCTTTTTTGTGTATTTAGCTTGGGGCACTAGCATCACTCAGGCTGCAGGATGAAGTGAGTGTTATTTTTCTCTCGTGTTTTAACATATTTAACAGATTTATGCCGCAAGAGGAAAATTCGTAAGAATACTTTCCAAATGAATAGAACTTAGTTATCCCCAGTTTTTGCGGGCCACTGTAGGCGGTTCGTTTGTGCGATATTTTGCCAAGTCAAGCTGCTTCTAATTATGTCCCTTCCTGATATTTTCTTGTGGTACCTGGTTCCTGATCCCAAAATAAGCTTGGCAGTCACTTGAAACTGAGAATAGCTTACAGTGGTCCATGTTAATTGTTGTTAACAAAGTACTTTCCATCTAGCTGAAGAGGGCCTTATCAAGTGATAATATACTACATAAGCTCTCGCTCTGGTAATGAGCTGACTAGATTTCATTATCTAAACATTGATGAATGTGACTGTTTGTTTTGGTGATTTAGGGCGAGGAACATGTGGCAAGAGAAGCATTGATCAAGACTCACTTTACACAGAGAATATCTGAACTAACTTCACAGGTAATGCAGCGGTGAAGGAAGTGAGGGTGATTTTTTTCTTGGATTTTGGTAAAGCTTTTGCAGACTAGCTCAACACCGGAAACTGAGCTCGATCATAAAAGAAGAAATATATCTGCAACAGTGTTAGTCTTAATTCGGTTATATCATGCGATATATCTTTGTATGTAAATTGATTACTTTAATTTTGGTATCTGTCATGTGTTAGAATTGAATGAGTTCTTCTCCTGTTGTCATAATACTTGCGGCGTATAACGTAGCTGAAAGGATTTGAGATTTCTGAACTTCAAACGGAAATGCCATTGCCTTCTTTATATTCGTTTATTTGATTGTAGGTGCAATTTTCCGAGAGCAAGACAGCGTCCATGAGTGCAGAGGTACAGAAAGTTTTAATCACTACTTTTTCCTTGGTTCTGTATTCAGTCAACTTGAAATACCTGAAAAAGGAAATTTTGAGGGTTACTTTGGCTCTTTTATACGTTGTATTTATTCATTGGAACCGGTATTGATGTGGCATTGTAAGTTGATGGTATCCAGGCGATATTTTGGTGATTATCTATGGCAATTTTCTTATTTATGAATTGTTCAATCTTTACCAGTGCCGCGCTTTATATCGACGAATAAAGCAGACAGAGAAGACCAAACAAGAATTAGCGAGATCTCTAAAGACTGCTACGTCTAAAGTCAGTCAGCTAGAGGTGAGTAACTCACTCAGTAAGGCTGTGCTCTAGCAGCGCCTAGTAGACCCTGGCGCTAAAACTAGTACGTTTTTCATACAAATCCAATCAGCTGGGTACCCTGGATTTCACAGGTTTAGAGCACCGGGCTCCCTTCAATTTTTCTTACACCACAACCTCTGACTGGGATGGGGCACATCGATGATACAGTAGCGTTTTCGTAAACTTTCCCCCACCCCAACAACATCGCCCCGGAGAGAGCGGAGTGGTTTATCCCCCATTTTCCTGATCGTTTTCGACAAAGTATTTTGCGGAGGGTCTCAATGGGGTTAACCGATAGGCGTAAAACGGCCAAAAATTTAGTCGATACCCGTAAAAATTGAAAAATTTTAACCGGCAGCCGTAAATAGGGTAAAAAGAGTTAACCGTAAAAGAAATTGTTCCCTAGATTTGCTACTTTTAAGGAAGGTACTAAACTCACTTATGATTGCGTTTTTTATTTCCCTGCTACTGTGGCTCTGTACACACATTAGGTAAAGCGCCTTTTAGGTGTTGACCAAGATCCTGGCTCCATTTCCGCCGCTCTCTCGGGGAACTAATTTTTTTCCATAGCGAAAGTGTGGCTTCTTGCCGGGGATTAATATTTGCGATTTTCAGGAGGTCGTGCCCTCGAAACACTAGTGAAACAACACGCAGAGATGTCACTGTTGTAAAACACGTTGCCGATAAACAACATTTCCCTGTTTTTCTCTGACGCTACGGTAGACATTGCCATGCCTAGTCCCTGTACGGCGTCTTCCCACGCAATCTCGGCCAAGACATTTCGGTGGCGAACTCGCTTGGACCATGTGACCCGAAACGCATTAGCCGCACGAAATAATGAGGCCTACGGACAAGGCAACGGCTGACAGTGGTTCCGTACAGTCCTTCGCTATCATTAAAAACACTGGACACCGGAATTTTGTTATTGGCCGTTTTCACACTGGAGCTAGAAACGGATTATCCGTCTGAGACTAGCCTGTGTACAGCCACCCCCTTCCCGACAGACGTCCTTCTCCGATTTTTTTCTGAGGGGAGAGGGCGGCTGTACACAGGCTATCTGGAACGAATAATCCCGTCTTCAAACTGTCCGTCGAAATTGATGGATAAAGTCAGGCGGATTGTTCATTCAAAATTAAAACGGTTCCATTTTCAAATTAAGACTTACTACCTATCTGACGCGAATCACCAAACGGATAACCCGTCTCACACGAATAATCCGTCTCTAGTGTGGAAACGGCCATTTATGCTGTAATGAATGTCGCGCCCCGACCTTGAGTTGGGCGTTCGCGTGTGTGCTTTGCTTTTTCACAAAGATCATTTTTAAATTGACTATTGACATTTCTATGTGTAAATTAATATTGAAAATGGAATACTTTATAAAAAGTTTAATCTATCAAATGTTAAAATTTTTCAAAAGAATAGCTTATTTCACATCCCGAGATGATCTTAAGACCTTTATTTTGCTTTAAAGGTACAAAAAATACAGGTTAATTAATATTTAACTTTTTGAAACAAAAGAGGCTAATTGTTAACTTTTTTGTTAACCGTAACTGAAAACAATTAGCCGATAGCCGTAAAAGAGCCAAAATTTTAGCCGATAACCGTAAATGCCACCACCCCATTGAGACCCTCTTTGCGGTTAGTATTGCATTTTTCTCATTTTTGCAGGACGAGGTGGAGACAATCAAACGGAGCTATGAAACACAGTTATCAATGATGAGTGATCATCTGTGTGGAATGAATGAAAAACTGACGTCACAGCAGGATGAAATTGAGGCTCTTAAGAGTGGAAAAACCAAAAAGGGAAAGCAGCGATAACAAAAATGATTTTCAAAAGGAAAATGGACATTGTAAAGAAAAAAAAATGGAAAGATATGATTGTTGAGACAAAGAATAGATTATATCATCAATAAGAGATAAATACAATATAAGCATTTGCGCATTTCCAATAAGACAAGGCTTATGCATTTTTGACTTACCGGCTTGCTTTCAGAAAATGCCGGGGTTGCTGACAGTTAAGCCCGCAAACTGATATAGATGCATAGGTAGCCCAAGCTTGAGATATGAGCGTCGGCATTGTTGCATAACCTTCCAAATATAAGGATTTGATTGTGGAAGAAAGGTTTCAACATTGCGTGCCAACGTAGATAGGCATTCTAAGTGAGGTAAAAAGGTTATTGAAGTAAATCGATAGTCAGAGGAGCGAGCCTATGGGCTCCTGATAGTCAGCGATAGTAGACAGAAAATTGCGCTGGTGGTTCTTTGCCGACAACAAACCAGAGATCTCCTGTGTTTCCCTTCTTTTGACCTCTGCAAAACAGAGTCCAGCAATAACTAAATTTTCATTTTTATCAGGTGCAGGCCAGCGGCTCCTGTCATTGGCAAGATACTTAACTTGATAACTAGTTATTAATTATTATTTTTCTGCAATACTTTCCCTTGGTTGACTTTTCTCGAACTGCAATCCTTTGTTCATGTTCTCCCCCCCGCTTAGTTTTTTCCCGCTCTCTGACTCCTATCTGAACGCCTAAGGGGCTGAGACAGGTTACATATTGAATGCTATGTAACCAAGCTTGCCCCAGGCCCCAATTAATTATGCAAAGAACGCAAACAAATTTGCCGCAAAACGAAGGATCTATAGAAGACCTCAAATATACACATTGAATTCTGCAAAGCTGATCGTACTACATGAAAATTAACTTTGCAAGACATCAGCACGACACCGAAAGAACCCAAAACAGAGCGGGGTCATAACCATAGATAGCTGTTTCGCCATTTCTGATGTTGCAGAGGTGGGGAAGGGGGTGCATTTTAAAAATTATTATTGCCAAGGCGAGGTTGGGGAGGGGGGGAGGTACAATTTTCAGTAAAGTTTTGATACACCTGGCTTTTCTTGGCCTGCGTCTCCGTCGCGCACCCCGTTCTTTTCTCGCATATTACTTGCAAGCGCAGGCTACGTTTTCCTTTAAAACACTCTTCCCCCTCGTCAACAATGTTGTGAAATGACTATTTCCAGAACCCCTATCACTGTTCCACCGAAGTTTACTTTAAACGTAAGTCTACAGAACGGAGATATGGCTCCATTCGTTTTTTATTAGCTTCTTAGAAAAAGGCCTGCTTTCCAAAACTCACTTTATAAACATTTGTTTTGTTGTCGTTCACAATTTTCAGAGACTAACGATTTAGGATGGAAAGTGTTTCAAAGATTTGAAAAGGAAGTGCTTCAAGAGTTTAATAGCAAATATTCTTTTAAAAAGGATTTTATGCCAGTTGAAAATTTTAAGTTACAGTCGGGGTAAACGAATTTTTTTTTATAATGACAGCTGAAGCACATGGTTTCCATTTACAATAGCGTCTATACCTGTCAATCAAATTGACCACCTCGCTAGTTGATTGGTCGCCATCGAAAAACCATTCGAGTGCTTCTGTAAGCAGCTGTCCTCCCGAACTAGTCGTTGTCATAAAAAGAAAGCTCGCGATGCGTTTTTACTGTGTCGCGCGCTCGAAAAACGCTTTGTAAAAGCAATCACCGAACAATTTCCACGTAATGACCGCTATCGCGCAATATCGGGGTCAAATGGAGTATTTACAACCACCGCAGAACTCTCAGGTAAGCAGGGCAAGTGTTCCTTTTGTATCGCATTGTGATTTGGAACGGCACTCTCATCTTCTCAAACTCACACCCCCTTTCTTGTGCCCGCCCACCAAACGCTTTTAATCGACAGGAAATCCAACCCTCTCCTCTGGCATTGCTAGCTGCGACTTGTAGCAAGATCGGACAAGGTTTTGATGCGCCGAATACCGTCCAACAGCCGCCGATCAGCCAACTTGCAACCCAGCAAGAATACCCGACCTCGTGGGTCTCCGAACATGCGGTCTCACATGCGAATGAAAGTGTATATCATACCAATTCGCCGAACGTTTTACAAGCACAAAATCACTCCGCTACGAGTTTATATACCTCCCTAGGCCAGGTGGAAAATGGGCAGATGTATTATACTGCCGTTACAACCAGTCCTACGGGACAAAACGCGTGCTCACTGCCGCAACAAACGATTGTAACAAACAGCGAAGCCAGTGTGAACCTCGTCTACGCTCCCGAGTATGATCTGACAAAAGCAGTTGATTCTGGTCCGTGGAGCTTAAAATCGGACACCGAAGAGAGCAATGGGACCATTGGAACACAGTGGTGGCAAGGAAAACCTTTATCTTGGGCGAAAAACTCAAGCAGTCCTTCGCATCAGTATGTTGTGTCCTCGCCAACGTACACAGGAAATAACGACGTAGGTATTTCCATAATGGCAACCCAACAACAAACAGAACCTTCGGAGAATGCGACGCAAAACCCAGCGTATGTCCAAGTAACAAGAACTCCTCAAGGGCAAATTATACTAACACAAGAGAGTACAGAACCGAACAAATGGCTTTCTGCTGGAACTGTTAATGTGATCGCGGCACCTTCAGACGCAACAAACGGAAACGCTGCTATTCAAGTGCAAGTTCAACCTGCAGAAGCCTCACATGAAACGGACAATGTAAACATAGCTGCTACTAGTGCCGCCGCCGCCGCCTCTGTGAATGTCAGTCCTGGAGGTAATAATCGCAGGTTACGCCGTGTTGCTTGTACCTGTCCGAATTGTAGAGAAGGCGAAGGAAGGACTGCTGATGGCCGAAAGCAGCACATTTGTCATGTACCAGGCTGTGGAAAGGTTTACGGGAAAACATCGCATTTGCGTGCTCACCTTCGTTGGCATACTGGCGAGCGACCGTTCGTTTGCAACTGGCTGTTTTGCGGGAAAAGATTCACTCGATCTGACGAATTGCAGCGTCATCGCAGGACTCACACCGGAGAAAAAAGATTTGCGTGTAAAGATTGTGGCAAGAGGTTTATGAGGAGCGATCATTTGTCAAAGCATGTGAGAACACATTCGAATGGCAAGACCATGAAAGCCAGTTCAATGCAAGTTATGGAACCCATTCCAATTCAGCCGATTCCACAACCAGAACTACAACAAGTGCAAAACATTCGACCAATTTTAGAAGGGGAAACAGGCAATCTAAAAGGTGCTGAAGGAGAGCAAGCAGCCGTTGTTGGAGTAGATATACCTGGTGTAGCGGTCGCTGTTGATCAAAATCAGCTGAGTGAAAGTGAATATTTTACAGGCGAAGCGACTGAACAGTACCTCAACGATATGAGTGTTGCTCACGAATTTGTTGCCGTTCGAATGGATGGATCTCAAGGAACAGCCATTTTAGTAACGCAAAATATAAACATGGCGTAAGGCGTTAAGCTACAAGTAGATTGAAGAAAATGGACGAATAAATCTAGGTTTTGTATAACATTCTATTCTGCCTATCTGTTGAAAGCCAAACAGTTGCTCGTTTTCGTCTCCAGCTTTTAAAAGCAAATTTGAAAATAGGTTTTGTTAAATATTATAGTTTTTCCAAAATGAAGGGTGTAAATTTCAATGGTTTTTAAAATGTACGTTGTTGATTTCAGAGTGAGCTTGGTTCGCCGATATGCTAATTTATGGCCATCTGTGTGACATGTGGTTAAAGGAATTGGAACCAAGCCAATTCAAAGCTTCAAATTGTATGTAAAAACGGTACAAACAAAAAAATCATGGTTCAGGGTTAAGTCTTTTACACAAATGTTGTATCATGTATTTTGTTATGCTATTTTCTCTCCCTGAGACAGTAATTGAAAATATTGAATCATTGACAAAAAAAGGAGAAAACATGTCAATTTTTGTGCGTGGTTTATTATATTCCTCCATCCTCTGTAGAGTTTGTGTTTAAATTATTTATTTTTTCAGTTGCATCTATTTTTTGTCCCATACTTCAAATTAAGAGAATTTTTAGAATACTTTTTAAAAGTTAACAATTTTTATATTGCTTATAAGTAAAGTTTATCAGCAGTTTTTAAGTACAGGGGTAGAAGTACACGTTCAAGCTTAAAAGTAATTAACAAAAGAATATTTACCACACCTGGTCAAATGTCATGGAAATAGTTTGTGTATTAAGTTCTAAAATTTACACTGACAATAAGACTGTCAGTCCTAGACTGACATTAAGTAAGTTTACTTATCTCATGAAATAGATAGCAGACCACCACATAGTGTTACACTCTAATTTTATTGTTTTGTTTTCTTGCAACTGTTTTACAATAATAGAATTGTTAGGTACTGTTTCAATGGTACTGTTTAATACAAGGGTTAAGTATTGGAGTGAAAAAATTGCATTGCTTTTTTTGTACACATTTGAATTATATATACATATTGGGCATCAGAAGTCCTTTCTATTTATAGGAAGCTATTCTCCTTTGAATTGCATTTGAACTTAAGTCTCTTTTAAAAAGCAATTTTTACATAATCTAGGTGAGTACACATTTGAATTTTTGATATACAAAAAAAAAATATATGGATGAATGGATCAAGTCCTTTTTCATAGTATAATGACTATTATTATTTGGTCATGATGCGTTAAAAATACAGATGATGGCAAAAATAAAAATCAACAGTAATTTATTGAAGTTTAGTTTAGTTAACTGAGGTACATGTAGTAAGGTTATTGGCCTGCACTGTAAGCTGGTGTTTGGAGTACCTATAGAGGTACTTTTAACTTAGTTCATTAATGGAACCAAGATTGAATGAACTATTACATGTAAATAAAAATTTATGATGCAAATGTTGCCTAATGGTTCTCTGTTATTTTAAAACCTTTAAATTTGAGATTTTAACGTCAAAGCAACATTTTTCCCAGCTGGTTTCTGAAAAAGCAATTAGTGCTAATCTAGGATTGAAAGTCCAATTCACCATTGTATTAACCTTCCTGCACTGACTGTTCAGAGGATTATTTTGTGTTATCATAATTGGACCTTGGAGTAAAAGCTCCAAGTACAGGCCACTTCCGAGTTCCAAAAACTCTCACTTTCAAAATGAGGCCAAGTGCACAACCTTTCATGTGAAATGAAAGGGTGAGCACTTAACCTCGTTTTGATACAGAGGCCTGGGGAACTCGGAAATGGCCTATTTGCTAAGCTCCAGTTATTGGATTAACTTTGGGTTGAACTTATTATAATCATTTGAGAGATAAATAGTAGAATCACTTTAATGTGATCACAGGTGGGTCATAAAATCCCGGTCATACTAATAAGGTGGTCATGTTAATGGGGTCTTCATGATAATAAAATTACTCAGTTTTCTACGTTTGTGTTGGAAAAATGTGGTCCGTTGTGTAACCAGGGAGGTTGTAAGGCGAAGTTCCACTGTACTATGTATAACTGTGTGATTCCTCACACACTCATTGGTTGAGAGCAACCCTCTGTGGGAGAATGGGCCAGAATATAGATCCTTTTCTTTCACATGACCAAAATCCTAACAAAAGTTACTCTACAATCAAATTAATATTGGTGACCAAAAGGGTAAACAAAAGGGGTTGCATTGCATGCCTGCTGTGAAGGTGTTTTGAGAGAAGTGATGTAATGATAGTACAATTTGCTCTCACTGTCGGTATGCAATTTTCCAAGATATTTCACCAAAAATGGCTTGTCTAGAGAGAGAGCAAATAAGTAGACAACAATTTTCTAACCACTCGCCTGTGACTTGATGTTTCAGTGAAGTTTTTATCATTTTGACATCATTATAGATGTAGCCTGGAGAAAATTATAAAGGGGCTAAGTTTTTTTAAACTACTCAGACGTTTTGAGTTGGCAGTGGGGCAAAATATGAAATTAAGAAAACTGAATAAATGAATGAGGATGACGAGGAATCAACGATTTATAGTTTCCCTTTTGCGTTTTCACCCCTCCCCCTAGCTGCCTTTAATGCCTTACCGTAACTCAGGCTAACTGTCGTTCTGTCGTGACCCTCCATGGAAACGAATACTGTAGTGGACGTATGTTCTGCTGATTTCCAAAATCGGGATTCTGCCATAACTATCACATAAAGGAACCTGCCGTTTGTTGTTGTTGTTGTTGTTTACGAAAGAAAGGAATGTTAGTTGCATCCTCGTTGCATTTTCCCGCCAATAAAACTCCTGCCAATCGGAAATCCTTTCTGCGATAAGTCTATACAGCGGCTTCTCAAAGAGAATATGCTCTGTTATGCCCTTCCGCCATCTTGCAAGAATTGCTCTTTATGTTGCAAGTGTTGAAAACAGGTTAATTGTAAGGTGTTTTTCTCGTTCATTCACTTTCAAAATGCCTCCCAAAAAGAAGGAAGAAGAAAAACCAACACCTTTAATGGGAAGATTTGGAACGTCACTGAAGTGCGGAATAGTAGGGCTTCCAAATGTAGGGTAAGTCAATTGAATACGTGCATGCAACAGGTCTATATTTTTTTTCGCCTGATCGTGAGTCTGTTGTTTATCCACGTGGATTTTCAGGAAATCAACCTTCTTCAATGTTTTGACCAAGAGTGCAGCAGCAGCCGAAAATTTTCCATTCTGCACAATAGGTCAGTGTATAGTAAGCAGTGCTACTTCTAGCTCGAAATGATAACTGTCTTTATTTTATTTCCATGTTCTCTGTCTCGTACCCTTCAGGAGCCCTTCGATCTTCCCAGATAAGTCGGGAGGATGGAAGGAGTTGTGGGAATTTCGAGACACCGCTAGGATACATGGGTGTCCTATCGTTACTGATCAAAATTTCAATGTCTTGAAATTGTGTGGCTGTTTCAGAGTTAATCTATTTTACAGAAAATCAGTGAATTCGCCTCCAATCGATGAGATTTATCTCGTTGTTTATTTTTTTAAACGTCGTAGAATTGATTAATGCAGGTTAACATTGTCAATCAATTGATCTTCTCTACCTTCACGTGAGAATTTTCCAAATTATGCTTTACCATGCATGCAAGCACCACAGTTTCAAAAATCACATGTACCTCTTCGGCACTGCATCTAAGTTCAGCTTTTCAGTGACTCTTCAATGGCTGTGAGGGTCAGGGAGACTAGACTTGCACCAAGTCGACTTCTTTTATCAGAAACAAGATGATCACTCGCAGGGGGGTTAATTAACATTGGGGTGAACTCGATTTATTACAGGACTTACTCACTATCGGGAAAAACCACTGGTTGACCTAGCAGTGTAAGGGTCTTTATCTCCTTTTCTACTATTGTGTTTTATGCTATTGAGGATGGTGATTGCTAACTACTTTTTTGCAACCAGGGAGGAGTTAACACGCTAGGAGGTCTTATATATTGTTTTATAAAGTGTCCAGGTTTATTATTATTCATATAATCTGCTTGACTCTTTACCTCAGCTTATCATTTTTCCAGTCATAAATTGGTGCTTGAAGGCCTTTAGAACATTATAGCCTTAAAAAGCAGATGCTGCCAGTCATTTTGTAGAGGAAGTGATTTAGAACTTGTTTGAGTCTTTTACATGTTCATTTCTGTCATTCACAAATCAGTGGCGTCTCTTTCTAAATAAACCTGTTACATTTACACCAATTGCAATGATAATATTATTATTTATTAACAATATTTCTTGTATTTTTATTTTTCAGATCCCAATGAAAATAAGTATCATTCAATTTTGTCATAGTACTTACAGGTAGCCTTCAAACAGGCAGTGAAAATGTCAATAGAGCATTTTTACGTGATGTCACAGTGGCTACGTTAGTGTTCCAGAACAATGGAACAGTGGCCTTGTTAGTTTGCTAAGCCAATCATATGGGGGTTGTACTCTTTTCTAAATAAGAAAACACTTACTTTTGTTCCAGGAAATTTACCTCGTGAAAATGCTCTATGGACAGTGGAACCTGTCTTCAATATAGACACCCTAGTAGAGTGGACAGCTTCCTTTTTCATGTTGTTCCTAACATGCGAGCCCATGATATTTGTTTTGTGAGCCAGTAAATCCTAACAGAAGATGCTTTGGCATGTACTTTTCCATGGTCGTTACTTGTATTACTGTGGAACTGCACAGAAATCCTTCCTTACAACAAAAGTTGCCCACAGTTTCCTGAGTTTCACAGTGAAAAACTCAAGTAAATTTGTGTCGATAGATAATCCTTTTTTATTCTTTCTTTCTGTTGCACGTCGAGTGGCTGTTCCAGATGAAAGATGGGATTTCTTGTGTGATTTTCACAAGCCTGCAAGGTACAGTAACATCTAATGCACAAACATTTTTTGTCTGGAATCAAAAGCACTTTTCTGCAATAGGTTGTTGATCTTATCTTGTAATAATGTAATACTTTTAATACGGTTTTGGCTTTTCAAAGAAGTTTATTGTAAGGGGCAGTGAATTTTTCAAGGGCTGTATAGTACTACCTTTAGTTGTCCCAATTACCTACTTCACTTTGGAATGTAACGTGTCGCTGTACAGGATAAGCAGTTAGTTCAGTCTCTGTTGATAGCAATATCTGTTTGTCTTACTTTTAGTAAACTAGAAACATCCATAACTTGAAAGCCTCAATCTAAGAGTACCTTAGTTTCCTTTTGTGTCTACATGATGCCCCCTTTGTACTCTTATAGACAGATACTTAGACTGTATCTAAAGGGAAGGAATTGCCACATTATCAGCACTTATTAACTTGTATTTCCTTTACAGCAAAGTTCCAGCTTTTCTTCATGTGACAGATATTGCTGGTCTAGTGCAAGGGGCACACGAAGGCCAGGTTTGTATGTCTTTAAAAATAGGAAACATTCCTATTTACTTCAATGTGCTTTCTTCTCTTCTTCTTACTTAACTGATTTTGATTGTTTTATTAATGCTGCAATAAGAATCAATGGACATAATGAATTGACATGCTCTTTTTGACACCTTGATTATTCTTACTAACTATCTCAGTTTAGCTATCTGTTAATAATTAGCAAACAGCTAAACTGGGCTATTATCTATTGATTTGTTTTGATATTGAACTGTAAAACTAGGTACTTCTTACTTGTACTTTTATGGTAAGCAAAGAGGGGGCAGATCTTTCTTGAGTAAAAAAGGCTAATTTAACATAAAGTAAGCCAACCTTTTAACACCTCAAACCTTGCATCTGAGTTGCTCCGTTCTTCTGTTGGTGCCTTTATTGGCAGTACGAAATCAGAAAACTGAATTGAGAATGTTCAATTCCCCTCAACCTACTAATTGAATACCTTGGAAACTGATATTGTAGTGACAGCCCTGGGTTAAGGTTCAAACCTTGTAATTTCGTTGTTTTGAAACCAAGTTACCTTTACTCCACTATGTTTCTCCTGACCTAGGTGTATAATAGGTACCAGTAACTTACTGCTGGGGTAACCTGGCAGCTGAAAGGGTGGTAGCATTACTTGTTGGTGCTTCGTGCCACAAAAACTGGGTTAAGCTCCAGTTGTGTGTTCCCCATTGGCTCATTTGTGCCCTAACCTTGTTTATTCCACCTACCGTGAACAGCTGTAATGTATTAGTAGTATTATAATACTATTATTAGTGATATATGGAGCGTACAGTTTTTGAGACTGGTTATATTGTCACCTGTAGGGTTTAGGGAATGCCTTTTTGTCTCATATTTGGGCGTGTGATGCTATATTCCATATGATACGTGAGTACAATTAAGTCATTTTTTCATTATGTAACATTCTCTGTATAATAAGTTGTACTGATAATGTATAATTTTGATTTGATGTGACAAGGTGCATTTGAGGGTGAAGATGTAACTCATGTAGAAGGAGATGTAAACCCTGTGCGAGACCTGGAAATCATCTCAGAGGAATTGAGGAAAAAGGTAGAGTAACATGAAAATACAAAAATAATATTTTCTGTACATTCTACAAGAGGTCTTCTTCTTCTTGTCAGGTATGGAGATCACATTATTTTTACAATCAACACATTACCTTTTTTTTCTTAAGGATGAAGAATACCTAAAAGATAAAGTTGTAAGTATCATTGTTTTAAGTCTTCCAGTTTATCTTACAGTACATGATAATTTAAACTTATTAGTATAATGGCATTAGCTCCCACAAGTCTCTTGTTGCCCAGTGGTAGAGCATTTGGACTAGTAACCAGAAGGTGGATGAAACCTATTCAGCAAATTATTATAAGGTGGCAATCTGACTGATTAAAATAATTTCTATCATTTTGTTGTATTTTTAGAGCAACATGGAAAAGACAGTAGTGAGAGGTGGAGATAAAAAGAGACTAGGAGAATTTGTAAGTGAATCTAAATTCATTTCCAACTCTACTTTTTTGAATAAGGTGGCTATTAATCATTTGCTTTTGTTACTTGTAGGAAAGCCTAAAAAAAATATATCACTCTGTCTCAGAGGATAAAAAGCATGTTAGGTTTGAAACATGGGATACAAAGGAAGTGAGTGTATAATAATATTGTTGCAAAGGAAACTTCACCTTTAAATAATAATTTAAATAATTTATTGCTAGCTTACTACTCCTTCTTGGCTAATTAAAAAGCCAGCACTGTTACTTTTCTCTTTCATCCCCCTGCGAAGTTATCATGTTTAGTTTTACCTTGCATTATATATTTTTCCACTCTTGCACATTTTTACTGTACAAGTGTTGAACTGTTCTTAGTCCCCTATTTTTCTTTGTGATTGTCAAGAGCAGTCACCGATTTTGAGACACTTTCATCTTGTTTTTGTGTGGTGATTGAAATCTGGAGAGATATGGCAGCCCATTTAAGTAATTATTAAGCCCTTGATTGAAACAATCCTTCCAAAAATAGGGGTTTTTCAGTCAAAAAATAGATACAGTGGTAAAAGTGAGAGTCAAGGACCATGTGCTCGCTCACTTGCAAAAGGCCACACATAGCAGATACTCAGTAAGTCTCTTTGTTTATTTCAGATTGAAGTTCTCAACAAGCATTTGTTGCTCACATCAAAACCTGTTATATACCTTGTGAATTTATCTGAGAAAGACTACATTAGGAAGAAGAACAAGTGGTCAGTTCTTTTTTCTAATAATTATTATCCTTAATTATGGTCAAAACTTGTAGCTTGACTTGTGAATGACAGAGTGTTAAATGAAAGAAAAAACCTTTTTGCAGGTTAGCAAAGATAAAGGAGTGGGTAGATACAAATGATAGTGGAGCTGTTATCATTCCTCTTAGTGGAGCCCTGGAATATAAGGTGCTGTTTTCTTTAATAGAAGGAGAATTTATCACATCATTATGCAAACTGTGAACCAAACAAAAACTGGTTTAAGTAGCATGCTCATTTTCTTCATATTTTCAGGGTATAGGAGTTGCAGATGATGCATGAATTTTGCTTTTTGTGCCAGTTTTGGAAATTTTGTTCATTTCAACTACACAAGTTGTTTTGTGTATCCATCAGTCCCAGAAAGAACTTTTCAACGCAAGCTATTTTTGAGAACAAAAATTAACGATAGCAATGAATGACATTTTGATGACTCCATGCCATCATTTTCAAATTCGTGTAGTTCTTAATTCTGTGAGTTCAATATGTAGGGAGTTACGTGTGAAAGTTTAGTTGCATGTGATTAAAAGAGAAAGTTAGGTAAATGTTTTTGTTTTGATAGACTCAGATTGGGTGTTCAGTTTAGGTTTCTTTTCTTTGATAAAGAGAATTTCATAAATTAAGCAATCCAGCTATTTTTATTCGTTTTTTTTTATCCAGCTCTTAGATATGAGTCCAGAAGAAGCAGAGAAGTACCTTAAAGATGCTGGAACACAAAGGTATTAAGAACTTAGCATTATCTGGCCTCTGCACAACACTTCGAACAATTCACAGGAATGGTTCCCTAATGGGCCTCCCTGATGCTAGATGAGGGAGTCCAACCAATGGATGAAATAATCTGCCATCTATGTAGCACTGACTTTTTTACTCTAATTAATGTTTTTCTGTTTCTTTTTCCAGTGCTCTTGCTAAAATTGTCACCACTGGATTCAAAGCTCTTCAGCTTCAGTATTTCTTCACTGCTGGCAAAGATGAAGTCAAAGCCTGGACAATTTTGGCGAGTATAATGAGTTTTAACTGAGAACACATGTTTTTAACTTTGTACACTTAAGCAACCTTCCACAGTTTGAGAAACTTTAAGATAACGCAGTTTAACTCAAACCTTGCTTTTTCCGTTATTGTGCAGCAGTATTACCAAATGCAAATTCCTTTCCAGCCCACAGTCACTTACTTCTCATGTTCGTGTAAAGGTGGTGAACATAGCCTACATGGGAGGCGCTTCAGCAGTCCAACTTGTTCCCAGTCAAAGCATTGTGTTCTTTTGGGCATGATTTTCCCCTTTGCTGCTCCCTTGGAAAACCTACCCCTCTGGCTATCTATGAGAAGGCTTGTGGCAGTCGTAAGGTTTAAAAGTCTGCTCTTTGTCACTGCGTAGATACTGGTGTCTTACACTCCCTATTGTTTCTCAGTTCCACCAATTCTCACTTTCAACCGTTTTGGCCACTTTGTTTAAAACTACTAACACGAGAAGGAAAATCAAGTATGGAGGAGCCTAGAGTTTATAGATTGAAAAAGCCATGGTCACAGAAGTCTAGAGGGCATTTATTTGTTTTAAACTTTTTATTTTGGGGGTAATTTTTACAGAAAGGGACGAAAGCACCTCAGGCAGCTGGTAAGATTCATACTGACTTTGAGAAAGGCTTCATTATGGCTGAAGTGATGAAATTTGATGATTTCAAGGAGCATGGCTCTGAGACGGCAGTCAAGGTTAGTGTTACAGTTCTTAAGAAAGTAGGCATGATAACTTAGAATAGTTGTCTTAACTAGTTTGAAAGGACCAACTTATGAGACAGCTTTCCTCATTTTTGCTGTAGTTTAAATTTTCATTGGTTTCAGATCTATTAATTTGATAGTTTATTTTGTACAATTATTAGTGTCAGAGCTTTTCACCCCGATGTAGGCACTATGTGGTTTGTCCTTCCCTTCCCACTCCTCCGTCCTCTCTCTCCCGCCCAGATCAACCTTTTTCACATGTAGCTAGGAAAAGAAACCTCTGGCAAGCTTATTTGAAACTAAACTGAAAAGGGTATTGAACAGAGTTCTTTTGCGGTCTTGGATTATCCAAACTCAACTGTAAAGAGTTCAGGGAAGAAGGTACTAGTGTCCCATCCAGTCGGGGGTGGGGATGCGGGATTCAGGTTACAGAAACGAGGCAAATCTCCGGCTGTTTGGCCCTCATTGCTTAGGTGCGCCTTTACCAATCTCAAGGATACCTCAACTGAACCCACCTACCTTTCTTGGTGAGTCTTATAATATCTATTTTATTTCTTTTACAGGCTGCAGGCAAATACAGACAGGAAGGAAAGAACTATGTAGTTCACGACGGAGATATAATATTCTTTAAATTTAATGCCGGCGCTGGTTTAACAGACAAAAAGAAAGTGAAATAACGAAAGAATATAAATCAGATTAAATACTTATCACCAAGTAGCGGAATAGAAGGACGTCAAATTAAAACACACCACTTCGGTCATCACTGCGCTTTTAAGCAAGAAAAAAGACCTAGAGTTCTTTTGCATGAAATAGCAGACTTTTGAACTGGCTGAGAGATTTCCTGTGGATGCAGCAATTTCTAGTATGACAATATCGAAAAGAGAAGCTGTCATGTTTAATTAAATCCAGTTCCTCTTTTTTGCATTAGATTGCTGGATAGAAAGAAATTTTAAGTTTATAATAAACAAAAATAACAAACTCTGATAACTAGTGACCACAAGAATGTTGTTACCTTTTTGCCAGCGATAATGTAACACTTTTAAAAATTCTTCACCCTTCATCAAGGGAAATTAAAGGGGAGTGGTATGGCGGGCTGTGATAAAAAAATCTCGTACCCAGCAGATCTCTTGTAACAAGAGATCTGGCTACGAGATTTGGACAAATCACGCGGGCGCGGGATTAGGCGCGGGAAGGGCGCGGGAAGGCGCGGGTGACAGAAAAGCGCGGGAAAAAATTGCTATGCGCTTCGTCTGTTCAGTGGATTTTGATTCTCGAAGCATCTCGATGTTTTTCATTTTTATGCACGTACCAAACGTGTAAATTAATGTTATTTTCGGCAAGATTGATTCTTTCTGCCGTTAATTATCAGTGGTGCCTGCTTTGATCCGAAATAAGTCAAGCCGAAAACAAAACTAAGTACAGTTGCTTCTGAGGGCGACTATTACATTCAGGATTCAGGTAGGAAAGATCTTTGAGGTTAAGCTTATGTGCGTTGGGTAGTGCCAGTAATCATGTTCAAACTGACTGTGCTGCTCTAAAACCTTCATTTTCTTTGCGCATTTTCTTTGTTGTCAGTTAAAAATGTACGTCAGTACTGTTATTCACGCTTATTTAACTCGTCATTTTACTCGTGCGATTAATTTTTATTTTTAGTCACGTTTATTTGACAGACTATTTGAAGGGTTTCTTGCCAACACTACCTTATTGTTTAAGTCTGATTTTAGCGTTCTACGTCGTTGAAAAATTTTGAGCGGAGCTAGGCATTGAATGAGCCATTTTGTTTTGCGATATTTCAGTCCGAATATTAACTGTTCGGAACAACTGGGTTCTAAAGTCGACACAAGGAAGCTTTCGCGAAATATTTGCGGATTTTTATGGCCAAAGAGAACATTTTTCTTGAGGGAGAATTTTATTTACCAGAGCCTGATATCAGGTTATTACAGGTCTTTATGCGTAGCAATCGTTCAAAGTCATGCTATTTCCTATTTTAAACAATATGTGCCATTTAACCGAGGAAAAGTTTTTAAATAAGACGAATTTTTTAAAAGGCACATTTGTAAAACAAGACGGGTTTAACGCCAAGGCCTTATTACATGTCTTCGTACCATACCCCATCTTATGTAAGGCGCGTTTTCTTTTTCCTCCTATAAATGGCCCTAATATGTGCTCCCCTTCCAAAGTTTTTAGAGAAAACATTTTTGATTTGTCCTCGGGGAGGGAAAAACGCCGCTGGGGACGTTCCTCCGCGCCCCAAACGTCCCTTTTCCAGGCTCCTGGATGTTTTCGCAGGCTACTCCCCTCCTTTCCAATTTCAAGAATAAATTACTCGTTTGTGATTGGCTCTCGCATGGCGCGTGACTTCAAATGGACATCGCTTTCTAGTCTGTGGCGGCTGTGGCTATTTTCCTAAAGCTTCTCGGGATAACTGTTTGAATAGGACTGTGCTTAGGTCGAACGCGTGAAGGTTATGTTTGTTTAAATACGGTAAGCGGTTTTTATCATTTAATTTGAACTAAACTAATAAGTAAGTAAATGATACACTTGATCAAATGTTTTGTTTTTGAATTTGCTATCATATCACCTTTATTTTAAACCACATTTGTCTCACCTAGGCTTCGAATATTGCGCGCGGCGTTTTGCTGACAGTTTTTGTCGAGATATAAAAACTAAAGATAATTTCGATTTAATGGAGGTTTTAAAGGATGGCTTCTGCTTCAAACGTCGTTTACGAACTGTAAATTTTCACGGAAAGGAGGTTTTGTCACCGGTAAATAAACGGCTGAGTGTCGAGGCGGCAGGGTCTCAAGTTTGACGGTGGTGGGGAGGCGGGGGCAAAGTAGATGTTGCCGCGTCCTGTCGAGTACAAATGCACTGTTCTACGTTCCTAGATACAGGTGAATGAATTCTTACGCTAGAAATCTGTCACAACTGATATTTCTTTTGAAAATTGCTCTTGCACCATTCCCTGATAATCTCTGGAGAAAAGGGACTGATGATGATCAATGTACCAAATAATGGTATGGTTGGTTCACCATTTGTCTCACGATGATCACTTTGTTGCTGATTGATTGATTGAGCCTCTAAGAGGAAGCCATGACCTCCTGATCCTGCCCATTTGTGAAAACGTGTGACCTGGATACTGCTAGTAGTAATGCCATTGACAAATGGACAAAATCCCCCAGGAGGTGGGTACTCCATATAATGGCTTATATGGGGAGGCATAATGGATAAATTACCAACCCTTAGCTATCTGATCAACCTTGCCTTCAATTTTAAGTGTTATTCTATATTGCTGATCCTGATCTACAACAAGATCTGGCTTTCACTTGCTGCTGTTTGTCAAGTGGTCCTTGCAAGAATTTAGGCGGAACCTTCCCTGATAAAACTTTATTCAGTAACTCTCCACCCTTGAGGGTAGACTTCATTGAATCAACTCTTGTCCCTTAGTCTTGTTTTATTGAGGCCTCTTGTAGTAGCAAAGCTAGAAAGTGAAGGTGACCAAATGAATGTTTAAGTTGTGTGTATTGAGCTTGACTGAATTTACAGACTACAGGAATTACCGAGAGACTCATCATGATGGCTAGACCTTCAGACTTGCCTATGATAATCAATGAACCATTATTGATAATGTTTTTTTTATTTAACACATCTTGCAATGAACAAACACCACTGAATCATAGTCAACAGTTACCAGCACCCTACAAAGAACTTATAGACGGACTCAAGCAAAACTAACTACAAGTGAATGACTGGACAACTGACAATTTGGCTGACTGAATAAACAACTGTTTAACTGTGACAATAGACGGATCGAAATGCACCAATGACATTACAAGTTTTCATAGCCAATAACATGATGCTTGGCTTAAATGACAGATGACCCATAACATCGCAACTTAATTGACCAATCAGGTCAATAACCAGAGTTTAATACCATCAACTGACTTGATACATCTCCCTTTGACTCTGAAGATGACTACCGCACAGGATGTAGAAATGTCAGTCACTATCAAAGGACTACGTTCACCCGGACAATCATATTCAACCTACTTATGAAATGACTCCTGGGTTCAAACATTTTGCAACAATTTATTGTTTTGTTAATCTTTCAGCATGATGTCTGACCTTTGTCCTCGGATAAACACCTAAATGGATCTGAGGTACAAATTTCTTTCTTTCTTAGCATTAACTTACCTCTTAGCCTCATTTTCAGCCTCCTCCTCCACTCACTAAGTCACTCGGGGAGAGGCTGCTCCCTAACCTCACTAAGCCTCTTGGGAAGGGAGCCTACTCCTCTCTTCCCAAGTAACTTAGTGAGTGGAGGAGGCAGCTGAAATTCACATTATAACTTACCATATATTGGTTAAAAATGTTTAATCAGTATCCATGTAATTGGTCACTTAGAATTTCTGTATTATTGATTCTTTGAGTGACATCTTTGCAGTACGATAGCCATAGAGAGAGATCATTTGCAGCTCTTAAAAGTCTTAAATTTTTATGAGCGTACAGGTGTAAAAATTACAGCTGACAAGAGGTAGCCCAGCTGGCTTATTACAGCCTTGGCTTAGGAGTTAATCTTGATTGGTCATGAAATAACTCCAGCTAGTGGTGACAGCAGGACTTGAACCTGACTTTGGGGTATCAAGTCAAGTATCCTCATTACCTGCACATGCTACCTCTGTCACTGGGTTAGGGTTAAGGTTAACCTTCTCCTATTTAATCTTGCTGATAAGCAGGGACAATGCACCTCAGTTTGTATTATTATCCAGTTATTTTGGTAATATTTGTCTGGTGCATGTTTGAAGCATTTGGCCCAAGATGGGAATTTCCAACTAAGTGATACAGTTCAGATGGCCCGCATTTACCAATTCTTGGGAAAAAAGCTTGTTTTGAAACACTCTGAACGTGGTTCTATGCAATCTTTGTGTTAAAAACAAAAAGAAAATGTAACTGAAAAAAGTTGTAAATTAGTGCTTTTGTGCCATGTGCATGCCAACGTAAATGATTGAACTAGTTTCTTTTTTCAATATTTCCATTTAGAGTAGTAGTTCTCCTCACTGTTAAGACGTGTAATCAGTGATTTTATGGTCAAATAGCTTTTTCTTTTTACATTAGAAAACTTTGAAGTACTCAACCCCTGTCAATAAAACAGTATGATTTCCGAAGAAGAAAATTAAAACATCAGATGTACGTCCCAATATTTATAGTTTATTCAGATGCGTACTTATATAGTATGACTCACATTTTTAAACGAGCCAACAGACCTTGCAGATCTGAAGACATTTTATTTATAATTTCTGTGTATGTAGTCCATTTGGATAGAAAACCAGGTTACGATTTACCTTGCATTGTTAAAAGCAAACTGAAGAAAAAAAACCAAATAACTTATATTTGTAAAATACTTTGGGTTTGCTGACCATTCTCCAGCCAAACGGATTAAGCTAATAATAATTTCACCAAAAGTAGATAGTTCCTGGCTGATCTTGGTCCAGTTTGCCTATAGCTGCATTCTGTCTCTTGCAAGATCCTAGCTGCACATGTCCTGACTGAGCTGTCTTGATTTTTCTTGTCTTTGACATTTAAACACCTTTTTTGTGCAAGGAATGGAGATGTCTAGACGGTGACAAAACTCAACCGATAGTTTCATTATCGGATCATAAACGTGATTATAAGTTAGTTCGAGCAATATATTGCATTAACTAGAATTGGTGATCAAGTAGTTTCCTTTATTACTTGTCACAAATATACAGATTACTGAAAAAGTTGCCCGAAACACGCTTAAGCAGCGGGCTTGAAAGAAGGCAATGGTTCTGACAGTCGTCTCGCTACATTTTTACCTTTTGTGAACCACTTGTATCCAACTTTTTCCGTAGTTTATTTTTTATGTTGTAGGAATCA